CTTCATTCAATCTATGTAGAAGTTATTGGAGATTGGAGCTGAAATATTGTTTATTCATGATGTAAAAAGCAAAATTAGCATAGACAAGCAAAATTAGCATAGGTGTTCTTTATAATCATTCTTAAATTGGTAATGACATAAAGTCTAACCAGCCTAAGGTTAAAGGGAAAATTAGCTAAGTACTTAAGTAGGACTTATAGAGAAAACATCATTTCGATCAACATTTTTTAATAGTTCTGATTCCCCTAAAAGTTCTAAATAATCGGTCAAACGAAAATTTAGAGACAACACAGTATCAAATCATTTTGTTTGCTCAACAAAGTCTGTTACAGCGGCAACTAGAATGAAATAAAAGATTACTTGTGTAATCTACACTAAGTACTTCAAACAAGAGTTAGTAGAAAAATGTTTTAATATTACTGGCAGGCTTAATAATACAGTGTAATGAGAATACGATATTGTAAAGAGGTTTTGAAGATTTTGAACATTAGAAATACGTTTTAAATAACATTTTATAGTAGTCGATACAGTATAGATAGGTCATATTAAACGTGACATCGACTTTTTGCCAGCTACGAGTTTAAGAGCCCCAAATGATGGAGATGGTCATTATAATGAAATACGTTTTGGAACTTCAATAACCGAGAATTAAATACCTAGATATTATTTTGAAAAGCTCAGTACCTATATGCCTAGTGCCTCATTCATGACAAATTTTAAATTCGTAACATCAAGTATCAAGTTACGACTTCAATTTCAATAAAGAAGACAAATATTTGCATGCCTAAAATTGGCACCTTTTATTATACATACTTTATGACAAACTTTAAGTTTTTAGGCATTTTGGTAAGCTACTAAATCTACATCATTATGATAGCCGTTTATGAGGTCACTATATATGGGAAATAGAGATGAGTGCAGAATCTTAGAATTTTTAACGGATTAAAGTTGTACACAATGTGAACTATGAATCAAAGTGACCAGGGCTAAAACCAAGATTGTTCAAAAGAGATGGAAAGAACCGAGAAGTAGGACAGATAAAATAAGAGATCAAAGGAGATCTATTATACTCAACAGCGCAATGTGTCACAATGATGGTGAACAACTAGCTAAAATGCATATTTGCAACTTTATTACTACAAACAATAGAAATTATGTTAAGTTAATATTATATTACACGATGGAATAGATAAATTATATTATACAGACATTTCATATACGCAACTAGAGCATTACCAATTTGAGATCCCATTCTTGGATCAAACTCCACCAAACATGGTGTTGTAATCAGACACTTGTAGCGCCACAATCAAAGCGATTTCCTATCAATCAATCAAGTTTGGAGTAATTCGAAGACAATTACATATTGAGAACTGTTCCACCTATAAACTGTGGGATCATAATTGTTGGGGCCAGAGACGGATTCACAAGTCCGTAGCAATTTCTGTTGCCCTCGAGCTTACACAGTGTCCCTAAAATTAAACCGTAACTCAAGTTACTATTCAGGCGGATCCTTACTTCTCGGACAACCAGTGATTTTTAGTAAAAAGAGGTCTAAGGCGGAGATGAAATTAGTTATGTAACAAAGGGCCCCATTTTTGCGCAAATCCTACTCTTGAAATATATGTAATCCGGCTCTGGTCTGGGTAATAAAATTGAGCCTACACAGCCGTATTGGACAACGCCTCCATAGTGCAATGTTTTAGGCAGTTTCCAATCTACATATCAGCGTAAAGCCTTGTATGGAGGATCGCGATGTGTTGTCTATTGGTAAACGTATCGCCATATTTGTTTTCAGGCATAGTTTATCGATTTTTAAGTAAGTAGAGAAGCTTTTGACGCTGAGTTCCGTTTTTGACCTCACACGAAGTCTAATTCAAGATTTAGTTGGGCATGATTTCAGACTACATGTCACCTAATAATAAAACTGAAACCGAACTAGTATAAGATAAAAGTTAGCTTTTCTTATTTCACAGTCTAGGCTACTCGAACATTATAAAATGTATTAGTATTTATAAGTATCAAGGTTAACACTACATAGGTATTTTGTAGACACAAGAACGTCATTTCTGACATACTTAGAGGCACTATAGTGTTCCTGACGGTGGATAAGTACCTCATAAATGCACTGATGACCTAATATCAAACGTTAACATGCAAATTCAGTTCTAAGTAAAGTATGTCAAAGCAGACTTTATTTATAGCGTCAGTACATCAGTTTGTGTAATCCAGTAGCTGCTAATCTTTGGCTTTGAGGCCAGATTTAAGTAAAACACTGTTCACACATGAAGATATGACACATGTACTAGACACACATGGCCATGATTCAAGGTCGACTTAGGATGATAAGTCTGCAAGTTATACGTATACCTACTACAAGTGGATAGAGATCATTTAGGAGTAAGTTGAACTTAAATACAATTGTAGTAGTAGATGAGAAAGACAGTAAAATCAAATTGATACTTCGTTTTTAACGTACGTATAAGAATACAATTAATGTTTACGTTTATATGTATTGTACTGTCTAAAGGAACCACATGCAACATTAGGTTAAATAAATGTCCAAGCACGTGCAAGCTTAGGACTATGTAAACAAAATACATAAATAAACCTACTGAATGACTTCATGTTCTTCAGGGTTGTAATAAAATAATAAACAATAAGATTTTGCTATAAAGTTTTCATTGTTTATGCATGCACCAACTATAAGTCTACTAAGTAAGTACTTATAGATTTTGTTTACGATTGTCTAAACAATATATCTATATAGTCTACAAGACTAGATAGTCTATAATTTAATTCCAAAGGAGTGAGTGTTAAAAATAAAACATCACGATTACACACAAAAAAGTTCAACGATATATTTGGTTAACAAAGATTTGGGAAATATATAACTAGCGTCTACTAACTAACGCCCACACACTCCAAATTAAGCGTGGTCAAACAGAACTAGCCACTAAATGGAGGTGTTGTATCGGCGAAGAAATCAAAGGCGACGATCAATCTCATGTCAAACTAATAATGGGTATGAATAGTATGTTAAATGTGAGTAATTGTTGATCAACACAATGATGTAACAACGGCATTACATATTGTCCGAAATTTGAGGCCGGATGCAATTTTGTTTTAAAATACAGGGAAAGGGCTAGTCAGCTTTTGTGCGATACTCTATAACAAATGACAGCCAATGATGCCTATGAAGATTCCTCTATGATATTCATAGAGTAAAGCTTCTTATAGCAACAGCAATCCATAAATATTTGTACTTAAAGGTATGCCGTTATAACTAAGCGTTGTGGTGTACCTCAGGGTTCTATCCTGTGACCTATCCCACGAAACATTGACAAATGATTATTGATTTTTGTCGCTACCAGGATCCAGATATCACTAGGTGGTCTGATTAGAAATCGAAGCACATAACAATAAATTAAATGTCACATTAGTTGTATAGGAAGCTTTGCATTTTCCATGTGAACTTAATGCAAACAAGGTAGTAAGTAACGATTGACAAACTAACTTGCAATAATAATGAATGTTTATTGGCTTGGAACGACATTGACTTGTTTGAATGTGTCAGTAAAACTTACTGGCTGCTGTTCAGTGCTGGGCTATTAAACATTATGTGTCGAGTAACGTGTTGACCGACTCTTCAGACTATGTGTTGAATTTTGGACGCGATGGAGACATCATTTTGAGACTACATACTTACAATGTATAAATTAATAAGCTATTAATTAAATAGAGCACACTTCCAATATAATCTAACCAAAGGTTATTTTAGATAAATTTCGTAAAAAAAGAAAGATTTTTTAGGTATCATAAAATGATAAAAAAATTCTTATGATTCCTAAAACGCACAATTTTAACACGATTTTCTGTCTACCTTGTTTTTAATTTATTGGTTTTCATTACTCATCTCATTAATATTGGATGAAAAAAATGTTCTATTGGATGTTACTCGTACTAATATTGTTTGGATTAGCATTTGTTTATAGTTCTTGACATTAATATTTTATTACATATTACCTTTTTTGAAGTCGTAATATTTATCTTGAAGTCATTTATGAGGTGTATGCCTTAGTTGATCGGAGCCGCGGAGAACTTAACGGGTTACCGGGGCTCCGGTTCGAAGTGCAGGAATAGGAACGGGGTGGTTTTTAGTCAGTAAGAGTCCGACACTCCCTCCCGCCTCACTTAGACGGGAGAAGTCATTCGATGATATCATCCCTTAAAAAAATACCTTAGTTGAATATATTCCATCTTTATTTTTTTTTTGTTTTTAAGTACAAGACACTCTATTTAATGAATTTTATACTGTTGATGTAATCGGGAATGCATATCACCGGCCATTAGGCACCACTTAATTTAAACCTTTATGTAAATTAAGGTTATTTAATGAGCAGTAGGGTTCATAGCTCTCCAGTGATTAGCTGGCGTTGGTTGGCTGGCAAGCAAACAAAGCTGGGGCTATAACTTTGCTGAGAGTAATAACTTAACCTATCTACACTACAATAGATGTCTGAGTGCCTGAATTCTTGTGTTTCCGTATTCAGATGTGTGGTTGTGGCAAAATTACTTTAAATAATAGCAAACTAATTACAATGTGCGACGTACGTATGCACAAAGATGGTAACAAATTATGACTCAGCGCGGTAATATTAAACCTGAATGATAGTAATGTACGAAAAAAAAGAAATATGTAAAATAAAATAAATAATATTTCGTTGTTCTATTTGGTTGATATCAAAACTCAACTTATTTTGGTTACACATTATTAAAAGCTCATCCAAGTATCAAACCTCCATACTCCGAAACAATGCCCAGCAAAAATGAATGAAGTACACAAATTACAAGTACTCAAAGTATAGCAACAAACATTTCGGTAAAGACAACACTAATAGCGTAACGGAAGCACCACAGATCTAAGTGGTTGGGCAAACGTGCGCGTGCGCCCGTTGTATGGTCGATGATAAAGCTCGCAATTTTAGTTGTCAGTCGGGAGCGTGCCGTGGATCGAGACGGTCCTCCCTTTCGGTCGGCGCGGGAACCCGTGCGCGTTTATCATCCATCCGGTCGTATCATCATCTACAAACGAAACACTTTTGAACATCGAATAGTATTCTGGTTGCCCTCCACAGAGGAATCCAGTGGCATGGTAATTTGTGATAATAATTCCATCAGGATAATGTTGATTTAATTTTGTTACGGACGGATCCTGGGTGTTTGCCGCCTATTGTCTCTTGAATAGAGCTAGAGATTGGTATTGTATTACGTAATGTGTATAAAAATATTTTATTTCTTTTTTATTAAGTAATTTGTAAAAAAACGGCATGACAGTTTTTAAAATTCAAGATATCTCGTATAATATTTCAAACTATATCAAATTAATAATTAATTAGATTACACACGTCACGCAGATTATTCCAAGTCAACAAGTGTAATGTTAGTTCTAAGTAACATAAAAGCTCGCTCCGCTTCACGCGGCGGACAATTTCCAATGTTTTTGTACTTTTAAGTGAGTTATGATGACTTTCGCAGTTACAACATTATTTTGCCATTACAATGCCTACATCCTCAGTTAATAGGGCCAGGGTTAAACATTGGTCAGCGATGAGTCCCTTATCAGAGTAGGAACCGGCCGAAGGCTAGCCGATTTGCGCAATCGGCGGGACCATATCACGTCCGACGCTAAATTCACATGTGTGGGAATATCGCTCTCCATTTACTTGTCATATTTATTTGTTACGGCTTCTGTATTGTTCAAAGTGCAAGCTTAGATAACTTTGTGCCTATTTTCACCATTTCTACCAAAATCGATTTTGCTATCAGATTGGTTCTGTCTCAAAGTCACTAACTTTAATTTTATGCTATCTGTTGATGAAAATCACCCCCAGATTTTTCGCAATGCTAGATAAATATTCAGAGATTTCAAGATTGTTCAGCTACTAATGTAAATTGGTCCGATACGAACTAGAATACTGATTTCTTTTTTTTATTTTCTTAAAGATAACAAGATGTGTTTTAAAAGAAGACCAATAACCTCGTTGGCCTCATTAAGTGCATTTTCCACTAGGGATTCAAAGTCCTCGTGGCAATAAACTACGTTCAAATATTTCAGAATGATTATTTAGCGAATATTTTCGATCGAATCACATTGATACTACGAAAGCTTGTCTAGTTTGTAGTCAGATTTCATGCCTTTTACGTGTTGTAATGTTGATGTAAATTTACACCTCAATTCAGTGCACAGTGTGATCCAACGCGTTAGCTGTAATGATTGTCATTTGCATGGCATCTCTGTGAGGGCCTAGGACCGGTCGGCATTGGCCCTACATTTAACAGCTAATTCTCTATTGTGTTCGCAATTTTACAACCCGTCGTTATGAATTACAACTAGTGCTTATCTGTCACTTTAAACTGTATTGTAGCCAACGATAAAATGTTACGAGTCTTGTACTAATGTCATGTCATCATCAATTTGTTAATTTTGTCTTGTCTCTAGAAGAAATTACAAAACAAAGATGTAACAGTAACTCTATAATATTTCTTTCAGTTTTACATAGATCTCAATTTTGTTTGAGATTATATTAACAGTGTAACTTTTATCATTTATAGTGTCAATAGTTGTGAACATCATAATCTGACGTCACTATAGACGTGTGATGTGAAAATTTTTGGCTTAGGTAATTTTAAACTATGGCCTGTTTAATTGAAAAATATCCATATTACATTTATTTATGCTTTTCTGTTAACTGATATTCTAAAGGACTGTGTCCTTAGTTACGATTGCAATTTCAAGTTTGTATGGAGATTTTTATTGGATGTTACAGTAGCACAGTCTGATCAATATCATCGTTATATATGTGGAATTTAGATATCACTAGTATCCTGATGAACCTAGTTAAAGATTCAAAGGATGCGTCTACACAAACGGCTAAGAAGTATTAAGATAATTTATGTCTGCTTTATTTAAGAAAATGGAAAATACGAATAATATTTTGATTGAAGTAAATGATGAAGTGTGACATCATCTTGCTTGCAATAAACACATCTTTCACATAATCAGCGAAAGGTCAGAAATCTTAGTGACGTCTTAATCCTTTTCAATAAGAGTAACCTACATTTGCACAATAAGTGGTATCTTCATGTGAATTGTCTGTACAGCTGCACTGCAAGTTACTTTGACACAGTTTAAGCATGTGTTCGTCGGTTTTGTTTATTTTTTGAATACTTACATTAAATGCCTCGTAATTGCCCTATTAGGTCCGATTTTGTACAGACCGTCGGCTTCTTATTTTCAAATGGGATTAATTATGTCTGTTGCTCTTATATGGTGTATGATCTCATCAAAGTAGCTGAAGTTTATTGTTTACGTATATGAAGACTTTACAAAGTATTTTATTGCAAGCGTTTGGTAGGTCATTTCGAATATTATTAGTTCATTCTACATATTCCTGTCTGTATCGTTGTTACATATCATTTATGTTTATCCTGTTTTACTCTTAATTCATATGTGTTTTTTCTCCAGTTTTTGTACCAGTGCTAAATGATACCAGTTCTTAAGTAGAAAATGTTATTTGCCAAATGATGAAATAAGACCGCTTCTGTTTGTATAAAACATTCCTCGCCTACAAACTTTGGCTATCTTTTATCAGTGCGTGTAATTATTGTCTCATCAACTGTTTTAAACATTTTAAGAGTTTTATGAAGACACCGTTTGTAGGGTATATAACATTATTTCCTTGCAGATGATACTGTTAAACTTTAATCAATGACTATCTAACATTGTCAGCGATTTGTGATCAACTATTACCGGCAAAATTGAGAGGTAATATCTGTAACTTAACTTCCAAGAAATTGTAAATGATTGTGTGAAAGAGTCGAATGATAGAGTCAAAGCATGCTTGGGAAGAAGTGTTTTAAAGGACCAATGAAAAAAAGACCTTTCATTCCAATAAGATTTGGACCTATATACTAATACAGTTTTTATGGCAGTACAAAATTGGCAAATCCGTGTATAGCGGGAGAAGTGTGTAACTTGTTTCTGAAACGCAATATTCTTTGTTTCGTAAAATTTTGTCAGAGCAGTGTGTTACTGTGTGTAGAATAACTAGTAACAAATGTTTTTGTTCTATTTTATATCCCAACTTTTTACGAATACATTTATTGATATAATGTCCGCTATTTATGTAGGTACAGTAAGCTACATTGCAGATTATTTCTCAATATTTCGGCACCTGAATTGATAGTATTTTCGTACTATAGGAGTCTATGAGTAGTCTCTGGTTGGTTTATCTCAGAAATGTTGAGGAGAAAATTCGAGTATCGATTTTACTCTTCGCCTCTTAGGACCAAAGTTTCGTGAAGTGGTTTCTCAAGTGTGTGTTGGTCCTTATAGGCAATTAGGCGCGATAGATTACAGACGTAGACGGTATCTGCATGTTTCAGGCGTGGCTAACGATCTGTCACATCACGCCCTACTTGCGTTCTTACATGTCAATACGCTGAAATATAATAAAGTAGGGTTTATCGGTAATAGGATGTTTTCGGGATAGGCTTTAACTCGTCGAGGACCGTCATTATAGACACAATTATAGAACAATAGGTTGCGCTCACCGGTAACCGCTTGGTGTTTGACAGTTTAATATTATAGACGTGTTTAAGCTTATTATTCTAGATTCTTATTTTTGGGCATTCTTCAGTGTATTTGATTTAAAAGAAAGATTAAAAAAACTTAAAATTTTGTGCTCAACGACCTCGCTGAGACCAGAGACCAAATTTTAATCTCATTTATTAAATAGGATATTGATGTATCTGGATTTATAAGCATGACTTGACTATAGACTTAATTTCAACTTACAACACAATCGATAAATACAAGTGCACCCATCTGGGTGCACTACATGTCATTCTTTGTCTACCCTCCGAGAATAACAACACTTACTAACTTTTCTATTTGTAAACACACCAGAAATATTTACAACATTACTTACAACCGTACATTTATCAAGTTTATCATCGCTAATACTTGTATTGACACAGCATCGCATGTATTACCAAAGCGAGAGCTTTCGAGAGCTATCTGCATTTCACGAGGGCACTAAGTGGCTCTTTGATCGTCCTGTAACGTACACCGGCGCCTGCGCTTCCTAGTTGACGTATGAATGGCCTCCTTATGATCGAAATAGGCTGATTTGTTATGTACAGTCATTGCTTACGAGTTGCAGGATTTGTGTAGAGTATTGTGGAATTGGAGATAAAATTTGTTGAAATTTGATTTAAACTGACAGTCTTCATATTGAATTGATCATTTTTATTTATGATTTTCTTTTTAGAATTTGTCATTTTTCCACTAATGTGTGAGTTATTCGTAAAAGACTACTACTGTTAAAATTATTGCATTATTATTATGTGTGACTTACACGTATCTGCACATGATCATGTTGCTCAATGTGTCAGTTCATAGTGTGCGCTGATAAACATCTACAAATTTTATTTACATTAAAATAAATTCGATAAATCTTCAAAGATCTACAACATATCCGTTAATTGTAATGTTTATCATGTAAAAACGTGTCTGTTTATCCTAATCCCTGTTCTCGTCCCACTTCTAAATATAGAACATGTTCGCATCATAACATAATCGCATGATCGATACGAACGAGCCGTTCAAGTGAACCCATACAGTATAATCTCTACAAAACTTAAGTGAGGCTATTTCACGCCTTATAATATCATATTTTCTGTTGCCAAGCAGTTAATTTTATCGTCTGCATCATAAACTTGGGTACTTAACTTCAACCTTTCATGTAGGACATCAAAATCTTAGAAGAAAACATCATCATCTATTCATTTATTTGTTTTCGTTTAAACATCTGGAGTATTAAGTTCATCGTTTATATAATTTTGATCTTTAATTTCAGTCAAATCTATCTTCTTATTTTCCTTTATATAATTAGTAATGTTCATGTTTATTGTGTGCTAGTTAAAACCTCCACGGTTCCCCCTAGTTGAGTGGCAGGTGATTAAGCCGGATTTACCTACGTGTACCGTTGTTATCCAGGTCAAATCAAAATATTTATGTTTAGTCTTTTGTTTTTCTGTATAAATCGGAAAAATTTTGATCCGAAACTGTTGTTGTATAAACAGTGTATA